CCAGTAATTTGGTAACATTTTTACACATTACGTAAGCTCTAAATTCCAATCTTCGTCTTTTAATATCTATCTATTTATTATTTTAATTGTTAATGTTGCTGATGTTGTAATCAACAACTCGCATGATCGCCATACGGTACTGTCACAAGAGATGTTTTTTGCAGGAGCGCGGGTTATCATAGCCTGCAGAGACACCACGAAGGGCGAGGAAGCAGCCAAGGATATCCGTAAACTGACGGAGAACGTGGAGGGGGCAGGTACAGTGGATGTCGTGTGCCTGAACCTGGGATCCCTCGCCTCCGTGCGGAAGTGTGCACAGGACCTCCTTAGGACAGAGGACAAGATCCATCTTCTAGTCAACAACGCAGGTACCGCGCTCCGTCTGACCTTGAAAGGGCCACAACGAGTTTATAACAATTTTATTGTCTGATTCATGAGCTACTGATAACCGAGAACTTGGAATGATATTTTTAGATAAGTGTTGTTGTTTTTCAGGGGTCATGGCGTGTCCCCAAGGCAAGACAGAAGATGGGTTCGAGACCCAGTTTGGGGTCAACCACTTGGGTCATTTTCTGTTCACTTGTTTGCTTCTGAATCGTATTATCCGGTCAGCCCCCGCTAGGATCGTCAATGTATCGTCTAGTGCGCATGACTGTGAGTCCATCAGAAGCTTCTTTGTACTGAGCGCTGAGATTAATTTGTGCTCGTTGATCAGTTTATGTTTAAAGAAAAATACTGCTAGAAATTTCAGTGAATACATATAATTTATTTTGTTGAAAGAAGTCAAGTTTATTTCCAGTCACTGAAGACAAATGACAAATATTACGATACACAGAATTGTATGATTCGAGGATGGCTGTCTTCTGGTTTGACGTTTATCGACGTTTCAGAGGTCGTTGCTGCCTGTGTCTCAGGGCGGAGTTTGGTTTAATAATTATTACAAGCGACGTGGTAGAAATGTCGTTATATAATTCTTCAAAACCTGTAAGCATAGTCGTTTCATTTATATTTTAATTAAAGAGTGTTTCTAAAGTACACTACAAAAATTGAGAGGGAATTTTATATGCATAAATGAACTAAAATTTCCCATTTAAGTGTATATCCTTGGATGTTTCGTCTCGGAGTTGCTCTACCTTATTTAGGAAGGAAAAATAAATACAAACTATAAGTCCATCAACAATAATATGTTTGTTTACAAATCGCCGATTCAACGTTACAGATTTTTTTTTGTAGGATTTGAGGTTTCCCTACCAGAATACGCGAGGTTGCTGGCCGTAGGTATAGACCGAAACGTCCAAGGTTCCATGAATATACAGCCAGAATATGTGGGTGCAGTGTTTTTCAGAAATTATTCATATCCTTAGTATACTTAATGGACCAAAATATAATATTAAAATAAATCTTAAAGGAACAGGATGTTAAGATTTGAAATTAATTTGACTAATGACATCCTAGTGGCGAAATTTTGTGATGCGTGTGATAAATATCCAGTCTCGAAAATCAAGAAACGTCTTGACCATAAGGGCTCAAGGAGAAACAATTTCAGAAATATAATTTGTGACAAATTTCATACGATGTGTTAAATGTTTGTAAATGTATTAAACAATTAATACTTTATTTTATAGGGGGAACAATGAATTTTGAGGATATAAACTTGGAGCAGTCTTACACCCCCATCAAGGCGTACTGTCAGAGCAAATTGGCTAATGTGTTGTTCAGCAAGGAGCTGGCAAAAAGACTTCAAGGTATGTGTCTTGTTATATTGTCAATGTCGAGTTTCTCCAGATTAAATAACGCATTAAACTTCTCAAAACACGTTTCTAGAAAAGTATGAGTGCTTTTATGCGTTATCAACTCGAATTATATAAAAAAATAATTAATTACGTAGAAATTATATTTGTTCATCGCATGATTAACAGATTTCAAATTAATTTTCCTGAAGTTTAGAGTAAAATTTGTTCCGGTTAATTACAATATTTGTGTAATATGTAACTTATATTTTTAAAGGAGCTCAGATCAAACTTTAACACATGTCTGAAAAGGTTACACTGGTAATAAATTTATATTTGAAAATATTTACGTTTATAGGCCAACAGTAAATTTGTATGGACTTCCGCATTGCAGAAGGCCAGGGCGTACTCATCGAAGATCGAAATTCGTGCGTAGAAAATTTCAAATCAGAAATTACACGGCTATTCACATTGATGTAAGGTCAAATTCTGACGAAATTAGACGTCATTTTCCTAATTTACGACCCATCACTGGGTCACGACAAAACCCTGGGGCTCCCTTCATACCCTCGGTCTAGGGTCTGTGGGGAATCCCCCACCCGCGAAATCCCGGCCCCGTGACAAAGTCTAATTTTGGTTAAAACGCCCAAAAGAATGTCACGCTGTACGCAGGCCAACATTTTAAAAATTATTTGGTCTAATTTTACACTATTTTACGTTGTTGTTAGCTGAAATGCATTGGTATTATGTAACTTTGTACAAACTGTATAAAAAATTATATAGTTATTGAATTTGTAGTTTAGATGCGTCATGTTTGTGTTGAAATTCAGTATATATTATTTATTATTTCAGTCTATACACAAACTTAATTTTAATTTTAAATGCATCAATAAATGGTTGCATTAATAAATATATATTAGTTTTAAAGATGAAAATAACAATAAAAAACCTGAGGATGATGCAATAGCATCGAAACATGTCGTAAAATAATAAGCGCTGAAATGTAACATGGAAATAACGATGAAAAGCGCTAAATTTTAAATTTTAATTTTAATTTTAACAACAACATTTAAAATTAAAATTAAGTTTGTGTATAGACTGAAATAATAAATAATATATACTGTATATAGTTATTCTGTAGATTTCTTATTTCATTTAATTATATGCAGGAAAATTAAAATTAAATAAGCTTTTTTTTTAGGAAATGCAGTAGTTTTCTGAAGGTTTCTGTGTTACAGTTAATAATTACTAGATTTTTAGATTTCGTACATCATGTATGATCCTGTGTTACTTTAGGTACGGGGGTGACCACGTATTCTGTGCACCCTGGGGTAGTCATCACGGACCTTCAGCGTCATATGGACGACACCTTCTTCAAAGGAGCACAGTCTTTATTCCATGGAATTGGGTCCTTCTTCTTGAAGAAACCTGAGGAGGGAGCTCAAACTACGATCTACTGCTCAGTGGACGAGAAGTTGGCCGATAAAACAGGGCTCTACTACAGGTCAGATACCTAATCGAATTGTATGATGATTGGACATTTTTTCCACATTATTTATTTATTATTATTTAGTGTTCTGTCTGACGACAGGTCCATATGAACAGGATCCTTCCATCCTTTTCTCTTCTCGGACTGGGACCTGTTCATATACGTTCTTGGCAGATGATCCAGAAGTAGTTTGCCATTGCCTTCTTCTGTGTGTGAATGGAGTAATGGTTGGGATGCCACGGAGGAAAACCCCGTGTTGCCTAGACCACGGCCTTGCCATATTACCTCAAAACAATGTCTGGATAAGTAATCTTGTCAGTAAACGACAGCATCAGTGGAGTAAAAGACAGAAACACGCTCTAAATTCCCCATGCCTAGGTTATCAGATATTAAGATATCTGCTCTTCAGGTCATCTGTTATTATAAATCGTATTCAACGTTAGATAAACTCAATAGTTGATATTCTGTAGCGATGTGATTGACCATTTGTGATAGAGCATTGATATATGTGCAGTAATTGCAAAGAGAAGTCGTCATCAACCCAATCCTGCGACCCTGAGGCGGCCAGGAAGCTTTGGGAACTGAGTATGAAGTTGGTGGGCCTGGGTAATTGGAACGCCATCACAGCGGGCGACGTTGCATCACGGAACTAACCTGCAAGGCACTGCGCATGTCTGACGGAGCTAATGTATCAGCACAAGGCGAGAACGTCACATGATAGTAACAACCACACCTTTACTTAAGGTTTTTAGTGTAGAGTGACTTAGCATTAATTAATCACGTAACTCGCCAAAACAATATTTAATAACTTATTCTGTAACGCAAAGAGAACACAACACACACCATTACAAAGATTAATGTACCCACTAGTCTTTATAAGGTAAATTCTGTTTTAACATATGACGATCTGAATCAGGCTGCCACGTTTAGGTGAAAATAATGAAAAAATAAGCAGGAGTAATGTTTTTTGGAAGCTTGATGAAGGCTGAGAAATTATGGTATGACAAGTTGCTTACACTGAACGAAGTTCAAACGAAGGGTTAAGGGACCACAGACGTCTTCAGAGGGTGGAGGGATGAACTTTTAAATCTGTCATTTTAACGTTTTGAAGACTGGATAGGCTAATTAATGACTGATGTCAGAGATGTGATTGATGATGGGTGTTTCTGATGATGTTGGTTATGACGAATTACAAAGGAGATATTTTTTTTTCAAGTTTCTCTTGATAGAAATTTTTCTTGAAAAGACGTGTCGGGCTTTATGGAAAATATATGATGGAATCTATGGGTTTCTGTGAAGGTTGTGTTCTGGTAGAAGTTTATCGCTTAACAATTTCTACGATCACATGGCGTACCATTCCAGAAGACAAGCATTTCATTGTAACGTGGACATTGTATTTCTGAATTTCAAATTTAAAGTTATTTTCTGTAAATTTATTCCTACTTTATGCTGGTCTCTGTTAATTAAGATAAATGAACAGATTATGTTCCTTACACCGGAAAATAAAATAACGATTCTACGGCTAATGTAATTCCTCAGTGCTGACAATCTGCTAGTACAAAATTCTTTCTTAAATTACTTTCACATTCAGCAGCAAATATAAGATCTATTAAAACTATAGGATTTTTTTTAAACATAACAGCGTGGAATTTTACTCCAAATATTTTACACCAGAGTGCACACCCAGGCCTTGAGTTTGTCAAATGCTTTTCAGCCGAAAATGTATAAATTTGCATTGATTTCCTATCGTGAATAAACTGAACCTCTTCTTGAAAGGTATCTTCATTTTAACAAGACATCGCGTACTATTGGGACGAAAGTTCTCTAATAGATACGTCTCCTGAGAACAATTTATACTTTACAGACAACCTTAAAATATTCAGATGATTGTCTTCTTAGTAATAGAGTCGTAAAGTCTCGTAGAAGTTTACTGACGTTTTAAAAGGTCCTCATCGCCCTGATGATGGAGGCAGTATAACCTCTGAAACGTCTGCAAACTTCTACCAGACTACACAGCGCAAGAACCCAGAAGACAGAAATCTTCATAATCATCGCCGTGAAAACCTCAAATCCTAACTTAAATTGTGATTTTAAAATGTGGAATAAATTGCTATGTTGTAGAATCATCTTTCTTTATAAAATTATTTTATATCTTCTGTTATAAGAGTGTTTGGAAAGGTTCCGTCTCTTAAAATATATCGACTTCCCTAATTACATAACCTATACGTAATGTATACTGTTTCATGAACATTGGAATCATCACGTGACCGAGTAATGGCGAAACAATTCTATAAGTGCTGATAAGTAAATCACTTAATCATGATTAACTAACATAACAGTTATCACGTGTTCTCTCTACGAAGTTCATTAAATAAACGCATGTCTGTCTACCAGCATAATTCAATTCGAGAATCACTAGACGGACTTGGATGAATTTTAATGAGGAGGTTGTGCCAGTGGGGACTAACCTAACCTAAAATAATACTTTTCAATTCCACAGTCTCTAATAAAAAATTTGCGAATGAAAAAAATTTGTGGGATCGACACTAGCGCGGCTTGCTACAGGTTCATACATTGGTACTTTAGCTTGGTTAGCTTAGCTAACATCGGTAGCATTTGTCATGGTTAGGTTAGGTTCCGTCTTTACCTTCGTTACCGCAGTTACGATGTTTACATTGGCGGAAATGATGCAGCTCCCCGGTTGGGGGGAAACCCAACCTTAGGTTACTTAGTGTGTATAGGTTGGGATAGTTTAGGATAGGTTAGATTAGGTTAGGGCTAGGTTAGGTTAGGGTTAGGTTAGGTTGAGTTACTGTTAGGTTAGGTTAGGTTAGGGCTAGGTTAGGTTAGGTTAGGTTAGGTTGAGTTACTGTTAGGTTAGGTTAGGTTAGGGCTAGGTTAGGTTAGGTTAGGTTAGGTTGAGTTACTGTTAGGTTAGGTTAGGTTAGGGCTAGGTTAGGTTAGGTTAGGTTAGGGTAAGGTTGTGTTAGGTTAGGTTATTAGATTGAAATGGGTTGAGATGAATCTTATATCTATGCATGTGGATACATGTGTTTAAATAACAGCGATAAAATTAGTGTGGAGACTTTCACCGCGCTTCGTAATAATTACATTCAACCTCAATATCAATAATAACAATTTTGAAGTATCGGGGGGGGGGGGGGAAGATACATCTTGGAATGGTACAAGCTCCCTTTGACTAAGGCGGGTCTACAGTGCTGACCGTTCCGCTTAAATTTGTTAGAATTATTTTATGTGTATGTATAGTGTATCGTTAACGACATATACGACAAATGTACAACACTAAAACAAGTTTTAGTGACAGTTTAATGTTTTTAGAACAGGTAGTCGACCACAGGAGGAAAGGTGAAGATATTGTTTACATGGCCTCTAAATCTTCGAGGAATTAAGTGCCTCTGAATTTATTTCTACCAACACATGACAATTATTTTTATTACGTAACTGTATAACCACCATCTTGCCTGATTTAAATACAGTAACATTACGATAGTGTAAAATCAGTTGTGTTACGATATGATGGAAGGATCCGTCATGACAGACTGGGGTCCAACCAGCCCTTTCTTTCAAAGATAGGCAAAAGTTTCCTGATTGTTTCTTTGTATTCTTCACTGAAATGAGTCGAAGCCTCGTCCTTCAGGACCTTCTCGATATCTGGAATGCTATTTGGATCTGCAAGAATAATGGGCAATATCGAACAAGCCGTGATGACGGCAAAGCATCCTTTCCTGTCTAACTGCTTGTGTAGTTGATTCAGCGATGGACACAGGTGGCCGTGTCCGAGCAGAGTTAAAGTATCTTCCAGCGTCTTGTGATACTCTTCGACGAGGAAGCTGTGTTTGTCTAGCAGGTTCGTGGAGGGACTCGTGAACAGGAAATATTGCAGATCTTGAGCGGGATCAGTAAATTGGCACACCTGATAATCAACGAACCTGAAACAAGACATCGAAAAAACATCTAGGGATATTTTACTTCAATACAAAACATTCCATCGGGATTAAATCTTATACGAAGTTTTATTTTAGATACAATCTGTTCAAATATTAAGATGAATCTTATAAAACGTGGTATGAAGACGTTGACTGAAAGAAGGAAGTGATTTTTGATAAAAATCTCTCAGTAACGATCTCAAAATGACGGAAAATATCTGTGTCCTGTTTATTCATTCCTTTCGTAAGTTTGTTAATGACATTTCTCCAATCTGCTTAATTTTATTAAACAAATTATTTAGAGATTTCAGAAATAATAAATACACAACGCAATTAGAAGACAATGCCTGGCTTTACTCTGCAATCAGCGAAATGTACAGTCAGAGACGAGGTCCCTAACCTAGAACCGAGGACATGAACTCGATATTCATCCCACGATGATGAATCGAAGATTGGCTGGGAAAACCAGGATTGAAACCTGCTTTCTATAGTGTTACATCATCTATGACGAATCTAGAACCCAGCTTGAAGTCCACAATTCAAGATCACATTCTTAACCACAACAACCACTTAGTAGTTTATTTATTTAGCACGTAATGAATCGTAACAAATGAAGAACAGACCGCAACCAATTGGAACCCCAGTGCCTCCAGCTCTCAGCCTAGTCACAGACAGTTATGTAATCTCGGCTAGGATGCACTTACTATCCACGGAATAATAAATATTTATAATGGACGCAGTTATTAATATTTTAATATTATCGTAGTTGCAATCTAGTTTTTTCTAGGCTTTAAGTTTGGCAGCATTGATTTTTTTTACGTCATCGAAATTTACCAACTTACTGGCTGTATGCAATAGAGCCAACCTTAAATAATCTTATAGCCGCCTCTTACGGAATAAAAAATCACATTATCGTGTCCACAACTACCAACATCTTGAAACCTATACAATTAAATCACTCTATGCCCTGTTAATCTAATTCTTAAGATTCATTTTAATATTATCCTCGCATGAAACTATACGAGTCATTTTCCTCCGGGTACGTCCACTAATTTTGTCTGTATTTCTGATACTCACGTTTCCATTGCGTCTCATCGTGACTTGAGAAATCTTAACAATATTTGGTAAATATTTTTTTTTACTATAAAAATTTCTGATTCCCCGTTGTCGTCAACCAATTTTTAGCCAAACAATTACGTCATCAAACAATGTTACGTTATATTT